GTGTCTGTCAAAATTCACACTTAGTAGCAGTCACTGCCACAGTTGCTGACAAGGTGGCGCCTCTCGATATTACAAGTTAAAGTATCACTTCAGGTTTAGGAGTTTTAACTAAAATCTGATACATTTTTTTTTCCATTGATACAAAAGCTGTAAATGCAAAATTGAAAAGTCTGGAATATATTTTAACGCAGTTTTTGGTTACAAATTGTTATGGGTTTCAAGTACAGTCTACTTCTTGTTGTTCATTAAAGACTGTTTTGGGTGTCAACTAAAGTACCACTTCCAACTGATCCCTTTTACCCAAAATCTTTGTGTGAATGCAGAGTGCTTAAATACGAATTGCAGAAAATTTTCGGAAGTTTGATATTTTATATTAATATAAAATCGTTTATATTAATATAAACGAAGTTTGATTAGTCGAAAACGTCATTCACACGTATACACACACAGACACACAGATATCATTGTAAAAACAGTAAAAACGTGTTGTGGGACCGTAATTCATGTTTATTCATTGAAAATTTACTATCGAAATTTTGAGCCAAAAACTTCGTCTCCGTTACTTAAAATTATACTTAAGATTGCCTAAAGGTAAAAATGTATATTTGTTATCCAAAATGAGCAGCAGATTATGTACCAACTTTGTTCTGACGTTGCAAACAAAGTTTCAATATCCAATATTTATAGAAAAAATGTCATTCCTTTATCTCAACTAATTTTCAAAAGTAAAACTACACCAAAAGAAAGCCGCCAGTAATCTTCCGAAACTATAGCTGCATTCCTAGGAAACGTTGGAAGTGTAGCGGTAGATGTTTCTAACGTGCTAAGCTCTCTGACATTTCACTTATGGACTACTGACATTTTTGCCTGCTTAAAGAGCTTTTTCTTAAATAAAACTGCCATAAATGATGGTCTTAGGAAAGTTAATAAAGAGGAGTGGAAGGAGGTACACCTGAAAATTCTACAAAAATCTCTACTATCATAGAAAGCACGATAGTCCGATGCATCCATACATAAAATGAACATCCGATATAATGCCTAAACAATGAATATTTAAATTTTAAATGTTACTTAAGCGCTCTGAAGTCTTTCTGAAAAGTGTGTTAACATTTTCAGTACCTGCATACTTGTTTTTCAATCAGAATCGAATCTTTTCGACTAGTGGAACTAAAGGCAACTAGAACTAAAGACAAATACTAGCTTTTTCATGCTTTAATATAATTGATAAAATTTAGTTACTGATAAAAACTATATTTTCTATAGGAAGCACAAGAAAATAGCTTACAGAACTTTTAGTTAATTCAGCTAACACTTTTAATACATTTTCAAATTTTTAAATATCGAGATGAAACTTCAGAGCATCTTTTTAGTTTAATAAGATTCAAATCTTTCCTTATAATAAAAATTATCCTTCCTTATCTTCATAAGAATGTTGGTTTTTAGACAAGTGCTCCTATTTTTTATACGGAATTAACTAACTGAACAAATTTATTGAAAGGAAAAAATAGATCTGTGTACTTCCTTCATTAAACCATTTTATTTCAAGATTTAAATTTTACTCAGTTCTAAATAAATAATAAAAAAATATTTCAAAGCCCATTTATGATCTAAAAAACTCATATTCTGATTTACTAAATTCTGCATTTTTAAATTGTTTTCCACACTCGTAAATATATTTTTCATGTCTTTTAAGCATAGAACGCAAATACAACTTTTTGTTGTATAGTTCTAGAAACAAAAGAAACATTCCTCCTTTCCATTAACTTCGCACATTTTTTATCAAAAAGGAAAAAAAGTACATCGTAATTAGAAGCAATTTAAGCATTGCATTTTCCATTTTTTTGCCTTCACACAGCTACTTCTTTAATCCTAATATTTTAATTTTTTAGGCTTACGCAGACTTTTATAACGATATCAATTATTCATTTCTTTTATTCTCTGTTTTTTAAGTTCTTCCAAAAACGTGTTATTCTTTATATAACATTTCATTTTTAAACTTTTTCTAAAATTCTGTGCTATTGTTATTTATAGATTTTATAAAATGCAACTTCACAAAAACAATTATTCTCAAACAAATAAACGCCTCTTAGAGAACCTAGGGCGAAAAAAGAAAAATTCTCGTTAATCTTATATAAAACTATTCCTTCTTTCAGCACGTTTTTACTATTTCTTCCCTTTCAAATGTTTGATGTTAAAAATTTGTTTAATTATTTACATATTTTTCATTTCTCAGGCAATATTATATTACTAAAAGCCTCTTCTCTAAGTTACATTGCTTAGAACGCTCGTATTGAATGGAACCACGCTGTAGAGTACTAAGGTTTACAGAGCCGGATACATTCCGGACTGTACGAAAAAATTCAGCTCTGCCCTCGCTGAAATTCGAATTCCAGATTTTGGTACTGATAGCCGGAACACCACGAGGCCGCGCAATGCAGAATGCGAAAATTCCTTATTCTCTTACAAAATTGTAGAAATTTGTCAACACATTAAGAGTAATTAAATTGCTAACTAGTTTAAATAAACACTAGAAATTATCTTTACTTTAGACAAAAAGGTCTTCATGGGAAACACTACATAGAAGTTGGTACTTGAATTATACATAAGGTACAAAATCCCGTACAGCCTACCTGCTACGTTTTCAGGAAAAGATATGTAAATATTTTAGAATGTATGCTGAATAACTTTCCTTACTGATGTTGATAATTTGTCCTAGTTAAAATGTACATTTCAAAACATTAGTCTTCATGTGACAAAAAATCAATATAAAAAAGTGAATTATCTTCACTTGAAATATTTTTTATCTTAGACCTGAAGAATTTCCGTTTTTAGTGTAAATCTATGAAACGAAATACTGTGGGAAATTGGTACGCGTCTAGAAGGTTGTCGTAGACCATATTAATGAACCTTCTTTCTACTGTAAAAGGAAAACAAAACAGTCTATAATTTACAAAGGAAGTAATACAAAGGAATCTATAAAAAAGAAGAAGAAATTTTTAATAATTACAATATGAAAAGAAAATTAAGTTATTTTATAGTAAAGGCAATAAATATTTTAATACTGTTTTTGGAAATAATGTTTGTAGTGGTATTAATTTTAGTAAAAATTAAAAAAATATTCAACTTAGCTTTTCTCAAAAGGTTTAAAGGTTTCAAATAACTTACTGCATTTTGAAAATTAATTTTAATTTGTGCATAATTGCATACATAATTTGCCAGTTGGAAAATTAGTTTTAATTACGTCACATTTACCAATTTATTTAGTTGTTCTTCACGACAAATTATAATCAGAAATTCTTACATTTATTTAAAATATTAAATTTTATTCCCAAACCCGCATAATAATCCTGGTTAATAATCTATTGTATCTTATTTATCACAGCCTTTTTTAACTGTGTCATGCTTCTGGCTTAGTCATAATGTAGTGTTTTTTTTTTTTTTTTTTAGTGATATTTTAGTTAAGAGTACCTAATGTATGCATCAATTTTTAAGCAATAACTTTTATTTGAAATTTTCCATCTTATTCAATTTCCTTTTCTTCGCTCCGTATGAAGGAGACGCAACCCCCCCCGAATATTAATGACATTTTGTTTAACTCACAGTTAAGTAACTTCAGTTGCGGTAACATATTACTGTGTACGAGTAATGTAAATGCTACCTTGGATTTAAAAATGATGTTCAAACTGTTTTTATTTCAAACTGCTTATTATTTTTTTATTAAAGACAACCCTTGTAATACCTTCAAATTTGCCTCACCTCTCAGACAAAAAAATCTATGGCAGTTTTTACCTTTGAAAATGATATTTTTTAAGAATATATAACTATTTGTTTCACTGATAGTAGTACCTTAGATGAAAGGCTTGGCTTTGCATTTGTCATCTATAAAGATGGTAAAGAGAATGTAACTGTCCACTATAGAATACCAAATGAATACTTAGTTTTCCAGGGCGAATATTTTAGTTAAATTCTTGCGTTAAATTGATACAAAGCTCTTGCTATAAATATGAAACGTTTATCTATACAGATTCACTTTCTTTTATGTGGTAGACTATCAGCAGAAAACTGATGGAAAATTACTCCATTTCATGTGCGTTTGAACAATTGCCGACATTCAGTCTACTTACGTTCCAGGTAATAATAGTATTCTTAATAATGAAAGAAATGAAAGAATGGTTTCGTAAGCAACTTATCGAGATATTTATTTAATGATGTCTGCTCCCAAATCTTATTGTAAGCATATTGCTCGGGATAAAACTGTATTTGAGTGGAATGCAGGATACCTTGCTTCACGATGGCCCAGTGGACAAGGAGGGTTTTCCCAACTGTTTTTCAACGTTATGTGTAGGTACATTCAGTTGAATTATGGACTAACTCAGATTTTAACTAGTCAGAGGAATTTCAGAAAGTATGTACTTCATTTTAATATCGCGACCAGTGAGTTCACGGCGATGCTGTAGAAGATGTAGGGAATATCTTAATGTACTACAGGTTATGTCAGGAAACTCATTTACGACGAGTTTAAGGCATCTCTGCTTTCCTATGTTTCTCCGGCTTTATGAAAAGTTCTGAGGCTTTTGCTGCCTTATGCAACTGTATTTGTTACTTAAACAATTAGTATTACTATTTTTATGTATTATTTATTGTATTATCATACTTTTATGTATCATTGTATTATCATAATTTTTTGTAATCTTTATATTATCATATTTGTAAATATCATTGTATTATCATATTTTTATGTATCATTGTATTATCATATTTTCATGTATTATTATTTGTATTATCATATTTTTATTTTATTTCATTTATGTTTTATTACTTTATGTATTATTGTATTGTATTATTGCTGTATTATATCTTGTTTGTCTTATTATTATTTCCGCAATCTTCTATTATTATAATGGTGATATATTTTCCTTACATTATTACTATTGCTGAAATTTTATTAATTATATTTTAGTAGTAGTTGTATTATTATACATATTTTGTATTTTCTCTAGATCTAGATATTATGCTTTACAGTAATGCATTGAGCCCACACCGGAATACTGGGTAATGAAATTGCAGATGCAATAGCCAAAAGAGCAGCAACTGACCCCCACGTTTGCACACTTTGACATGCATTTCCCGGGCTCGTTCTTAAAAGCTGAGCTCGAGAGACAATTACTGAAACGTTGGCAACATCTGTGGGAGACAGAGACCACCGGCACAAGAGTTCATAGATTTTTTTTTCAAAAGTCTGCTGGCTTCTAAAAAGTGGTTCACTTCACTTCACTCATGCCTAACAGGGCATGCTGCCTTCATGACTTACCTGCATCGCTTCAGACGACGCGAAAACGACCATTGCTCGTGTGATATAATAGGTGATCTGGACTACTATCTGTTCGCTTGCAGAGAGACTGCCGAACATCATCTTAGGCAACCAGTAGCGGTCCACATGGGCCGAAGCTACTTCGAAAAATCGGTATGCATTGAAACGCATATGCGATTGCGTAAATATTGCACGCAAAATTTCAGACAGGCTGGAGTAACTCTCAACTGCCATCCTCCTCACCAGCACAGCCCCCGTATGCTTTGTACCTGTAATGAATTTATTTTATCTTAAGTTAGCTTTTTCTGTTTTTTTCCTGTTTATAATTATCTCCTTGAACTGTAAACCCTGAATTGTGAACCTTGAATTTGCCTTATTTTATGTAATATTTCCACTGTTTTGCCATATTTATTTATGTATTATTTTGCTTTTTAGTATTTTTAGTATTGCTATTCAGTATTTTTTAGTATTGCTATTCAGCCTTATTTTAGATATTATTTTTACTGTTTTATCAGTCACCTGTTAATTGCTCATATATTGCACTGTACTCATTTATTGTTCACGTTGTGAATGCCTTTTTTTTGAGCACCTATCCATAAGTCTGTAAATATGTAACTTAAATTGTTCTCCTCACCCGCAACGCACCTTTCTTCCATCACTGCACTATTGTCGCGCCCAGCATTTGTTTATACCGCCCCCAGCACTCGTCTTGAGCACAATATGTACCAAAGTGTATATGTATCAAGTTAATTCTGTCAGCTGGGCTATTTGGCCGATATGCTAACAGCCCCAGTGGAACGGTTGCCTCGCTGTCGGTGGAAAGAAAGAAAGAAAGTAATGCATTGTGAGATTCCTGAATTTTAATCTACAGCTAAAGTTGAGGAACGTTAACAGGTACGCGAATATTCGCTTTAGTTCAGTAGACAGATAAAAAAACTCGAGAAAGGTTAATTACCCTTTATTATTCCAAATAAAGTTTAACAGTCGACTCTTGCTTGGAGTTACAATAAAGCCTGCACTTGAGCTTGAACTCAGGAACTAAGAAATATAACTTAACTAATCTTAACTAAAAAGATATAGCCGAAGCTATCAAGATTCTAACAGAGTTTTCCCCTTAAAGTTAAATAACGGCGAAGCTATCAAGGGCCTAAAGTACGGCGAAGCGTAATAATAGCTTAAGAGAGAGAGAGTAGCCTAAGAAAACGAACGCGCGCTAGTCAGAATCTCTGTCTCTCTAACGAAGTCAGTAGAACTTCACAGTTAAATACTTCTCCACATTTGCATTCGAACGCGATTCTGAAAATACATTCTGGCCGGAAGTTGCAAGCTGAAATTATAGAAGATAGGAAAGCAACTTTTAACTAAAAATTAACTGTAGAAAAATTAAGATATATCTTACAGCGTTATTATTGCATTGTTGAGTTATTTATTTACTTCTGTAACCTCGTGGCATACACTATTGAAGACGAGGAGAGCTGTATTGTGTTTCCTTAAACAGATTGCTTTTATGAATAAAGTGGAAACAAACCTGAAAACTTAAGCAATTTCACTATGATGCTAAGATTATATTGAGTCATAAGCTGTAACATTTATTAGCTCTATTTAAAATTCATACTATAATACTTTCATTGTGTAAATTTCTCAGGAAATTCAACCTGTTTTAGTCTTAGCAAAATTCGTTTACAATAAAAAGAAAGAGGCATATAAGTGTTTCTCAACTTTTAATTTTTGCACTTATTTTAGACGCTTTCTTTACTTTAAATTCCCTAACACTCTCTTATAAACAAGCACATTTAAATACAATATTCAGTTATTAATATTTGAATTTCTAATTACGACAGATGGCAAACAAACGAAGTGGGTATGCTAAACAATCATTGGAATAATGATTTCAACATTTTCCAGCAACCATTTAGTTTCTTTTTAATTTTAAAACCATCTCTCAAGGTTGTTACTTTGAATATGTGAACTTAGTTAACATTTTCGAAACAATATGCGGTTCATTTTTATAAATATCATCCAGAACATGTTCTTAAAGAATTTAATTTATCTCAACTGACTACTACGGAATTTTTCCAGCCCACACACTCTTTAAATAAACTTATCGATCTTTTCTCATTTATTGTTATCCCTGAACATATTCAACTTTTATGCACAAATAATGAGTTTTAAAGATTTTCATGAATAAATTCTTTTAATTATTCGCTGTTCCATATTATTTGCGGTGAAAGGGAACATAAAGACGAGTAACAGTTAAGCTAAAATAATTGCTTTTCGAGAGAAATTCCCATTCTATTGTCTTTACAACGCATGAAAACGAAATCAGAGACACAGCAGTAGGGCCTGAAGGCAAATAAAAATTGAAAATACTTTAAATATGGTGAGACGTGAGAAATAAGTGGAATAGAAGATAAGATTCAAAGCCGCTTTAAATTAATAAATGAAGTTAAAAACTCAGAAAAGAGCTTTTTTATTTTATGAGGATTCTTCTTTAAAGATAAAATTATTATTATATTTCTTATTTCGTTTTTATTTTCTAAATTATGTTTTTAGTTAACAAAGTTTCCATACAAAATAACATTTTTGAATTTTTTTAGAATAGTTAATTCACTTGCGCATTTCTAAAATAACGCTTCTTTGCCATTTTTAGTATTGCCAAACAAAAATTGTATTAGCCATAATATTAACTTTCCTAATGGAAATTACTTTCTGATACATTAACAATATTCAATAAAATATTTATTTACTGATATAAAAAGTAAACTCCGTGCTGATAAGTAGCCTCAGAGATTTTAGTTCTAATTGTTCTGAGGAAAGAATTCGATTGAAATTCCATTTCGGTAAATTCTGTTATATTTTCTATTTGATTTTCTGACGCTTATGATAGTTCAAAATTTTAGAAACAAAGTAGATTAGAATAAGCAATGCAAACTTAGATAAACTTATAATAACAGCATGAAATATGAACATTATTTTTCAACAAGATTCAGATTTAAATTGTATCAAGTAACATTTTCGATAAAAAAATGATAGTAAGGGGGAAAAAATCGACAAGCATCATTTAGGAAAATTGCGCTATTGCTTAAATTCCAGTCTTTGTAATGTAATGAATATTTGCTAATAATGCAACATTACAGATAAGAATGCTTTGATTAAATGTGGTGCTATGTCACAATCAAACATGTTATTTGCTGTCTTCGAAACTGGTATACTTTACTGGCTAGAACTGCATTTCTACCAGCAAGTGGACAATTGCATTACGGATGGCCGATCATTTTCTTGCTATAGCTCGCTTATTTTGCCGCGGAGCTGAAGGTGATGTCACACTGGCATTATAAAGTTTATAATATAAATTGTTTATAAAAACAAGCATGAAACCGTGGGAACGGTTTTTAATTTCGACTCTCCAAAGGAGCTTAATTCAAGAACATTTCATTTCGGGGCCTTACTTGGCAATAACACGATTACTTGAAAAATCTGCTATGTTACAGCGGCTGAATACCTACACGTAAACGAGTACCCGAGTAGAAACGGTACTGTTCGGCTTCGAGAAGAAGCCGTTTGAGTCTCATGGCTTACGAAGTTTTTATTCTTCAAATAAGGTGAAGTCCATTCTTCCTTGGTAACATAACCATAGCGCCTTCTTGATTTGGTACTGTTAGCCTACATTTTGAATTAGAAAGTATTATTTATGTTTTATTCCCATAATTGATCTCATCACTTCACCAGTTGTAGCAGCTATTCTTTTCTGTTCCTGCTGAGTAGGAATACATAGCTTTTCAGAAACTGCCTCCTTCTCAAAAACCTATAGAACTTTATATGCCATTCTTTTCCTGCAACGGATTTTTCTATCTTTTCGAAATATTTTTTGGTAAAAAAGCACTTATTTCTTCGAAAGCGCAATAGTTTAAAAAAGCAACTTTTAAAGATTCAATGAATTTAAAAGTACAAAATACTCTTCAAATACAAAATAATAACACCAAGATTTAAAACAGCTATCATTCTTAATTATAAATCTCACCGCTCATTCAGGCAGCAAAGGGGCGATCCGGCAAGGCAAAAAAATCGTTTGGCTTTGGCAAAAAGTACGATCGCCAACCATCATCTGCTTTTCACATTCCTAACATGGTAGTCTATATTTAAAAAAAAAAATGGCTCCAAGGTTACTTTACCGCAGTTGGACGGTAGCTATCCGAGACGTATCAGACCGCCGTTTCTTCCTCACATCTTCAACACTGCAATGCCTGCGCCTTCGATTTTATGGTGTTTCACCGAAAATGGTATCAATTCCTGAAACTACGTGTCATACTGGCACAAAAATTGAATGAAACAAAGCAGCTCCAACAATATTCATGTCAATTCCATCTATAGAAAATGTAGAATATTTAGAGAATGTGTATATTTTGCATTCTCCAGTGCCTAACCTCTCAACGTAGATCATGCATTGTATGTTGAAAAATATTAGTTTTGATCACTCCTTAACGCTTTTTTATTAATTTTGAGACAAGCGTCAAAAATTAAATATTATACTTTTACAGTTGCTGTAAGTACAATATTGAAAATAAAACAAAAATGTATAAAATGGATTAGTATTTAAATAAATAAAGAATTAAAGAAAAAGATTTGCAATAATATTTGAAACAGTATGATTACATTATCAAATCGATTACCAAATCAGTCAAGAGCCGAATCTGACAATAAAAATTATTTCACAGTATCACTGCATGGTAAACTCTAATAATATTCGTAAGGATAAACTTGCAGCCGTGTTGTTAGGTGCTTCCCCCACTGGTTGAGTTTTGATCAGAGTCGGTGTAGTGACGCCATTTATAATTGGCGCTGTCAACCAATTACTTCATTGTGTCTGGCTTAGGCAAACATTTTATTCGTGATATTTGCCAATAGAGGGCAACTGTAAAGTACGTATTCATTTGGCCGATGCTGACAGCTGAGGATAGAACATACAGCCTCTTTGTCTTCAGCTTGATGCTTTTATCTACTGCTCCAAGAATAATGTTCTTGGAGAAAGAGATAAACAGCCATGACTTTCGTGATTGGGACGAGTAACTTTCCCGCAAATTTAATTAAATATTGGA